AGTCAAACCAGGAAAAACTTACAGTTAGTTTACAATTTCTCCCGCAGATGGTGTTACACCAAGACAAGCTGAGTGAACCCCCAAAACATTCCAGAACAACCTGTAGCGACATTGTGTACTTGATGTTATCCCTGCTGTTATCTAGTGGACATCAATGCTGAAATGATGATCTGTTATCATGGAATATCTCAGCTAATTCAACTTGTCCACAGATAAACAGCTGACAACAACCTTCACTCAGCAGGTTCTATGTGGACATCGTTAGCAAATATAATATGTATAACTGTAATGAAACCCAGTACAAGCAGTAATGGAAAACACAAATGACCATAAGAAATCACCATAAAAATGAATCAAAGCTGCTGTAGTAAAAAAAAACCATTTCAAGATCACTTATGGCCTTGAAACCTAGATATCTATAACCTCCCCTACCCCTATTACCAGTACAATATCAGAATACTCTACAATAAACAATATAGCAGTACAGACTTTAGCAGTTTTCTCCAAGTCCAATGTATAAAATATAGAGCTGATCCTCTGCAATTGTTCTAAAAGGTCAGCAATGCTGTGTACCTAGGAGTTTGTATTTGACAGATAACTTATTATATCACTAACTTCTAATACTGCACTGAGCAATACTGCTCCATCTTGCTGTGTTAGGATACTACAGCACTGAGCAATACTGCTCCATCTTGCTGTGTTAGGATACTACAGCACTGAGCAATACTGCTCCATCTTGCTATGTTAGGACACTACAGCACTGAGCAATACTGCTCCATCTTGCTATGTTAGGACACTACAGCACTGAGCAATACTGCTCCATCTTGCTATGTTAGGACACTACAGCACTAAGCAATACTGCTCCATCTTGCTGTGTTAGGACATTACAGCACTGCGCAATACTGCTCCATCTTGCTGTGTTAGGATACTTCTGCACTGAGCAATACTGCTCCATCTTGCTGTGTTAGGATACTACAGCACTGAGCAATACTGCTCCATCTTGCTATGTTAGGACACTACAGCACTGAGCAATACTGCTCCATCTTGCTGTGTTAGGACACTACAGCACTGCGCAATAGAGACAAGGATTAAAAAGCAAAACTTTAACAAGGATTTGTTGATTATTTTTCATATTGTTTAAACCAAAGAAGCAAGGTTTGCATCACTTTAACTTTTTCTGTGAAAAGTCAGCGTGAAGAACTATATGCTCCCAGACAATACTTTGTCTATTGCTATACACACAGACACTTGTTGATTGTGCTATTTCTTGCTGCTTATAGTTGAAAAGAGAAAATAATCCTATTATCTGCAAAATGACAGAAGCAAAAAGAAGAAACATAAAGCAAAGTGTGAAACAAAAGATTGACCTTATTTCAAAACAACTTTAAGTCCTATCTTGATAAAGGTCAGATAATCTGCCTGTATAATGTCTTCCCTTGCACCAGCTTGTCTTGAGCTGCCCCCTGGCACAGCTCCATCTATCTTGAGACTTTCCCCATCCCTGCCCGGCCTGTCTTGCCATATTTAGTCAGTGTGTATATCAGTTCTCAGGTTCACAGGTGTATGATTACTGAACCCCCCTTCCAGGGACCATCTCAAAATCTCCTCATGGGGAGCATCTCAGCAGTAGGCAGAAAATTAATACCAGGTGGAACAAATCAAGACAGGCCAGTGTCCTTAAGTACCATGATATCTCTAAGGGAAAAATTATCTACTAGGGTAAAATAGAAAATGTGATAATTAAATAATTCCATATAATAGAAAAAGACATAGTACAGAAAAAATAGTATAAGACGAAACACAAGGAAAGCAGACGCAGGAATACTTAGAAACTAAGAATAAACAAAGGTATTACCTACCAGTATGCACCTATATCTCACCAACAGACCACTGGCTAATGTCAAAAACACTGTATAAAAATACCCTGTACAGCATATACAGCATGTACAGCATATACCACCTTCTACTCAGCAAGAACCAATGACCATTCACATAAATTGTGCACAAATAGTGGCTATAGATGAAGAAGACCTAAATCACCATCACAGCAGGTTTTATAGCCTCTCTAGTGCTTAGATCCTATTCCCATACCTAGCTCAATCTAGCGGGATCGGTCCATCTCAGAGGGGATTCTCGCTAAATTGTTTTCAGCTTACATGGGTTACCTGTCTAGCATGTCCAATGAAGCTGCTAAGCGATAGTTAATTACCCTCTAGCAGTTTCGGCAGGCGTGATAGACATCTAAGCTACTTAAGTTAATTGCAATTAAGTGAGAATCCCCTTGGAGATAGTTCGGTCCACAGTTAGTACGATAGGGTCTGAGAATGGTATCTTTGTGAATACCATGGCTGTACAACTATACATAAATCTCATCCATGTGAATATCATGACCTGAGGCCCTCTAACATACCCTTGGTCTAAATCTGTAGAGAGGAGGTAGTTATAATACATCAGTTCTCTCTCCTATACAACCTGCTGTACTTGCCTTACCTAACAGTATGTGATAAATCAGGTCACAAGTGGAGACTGGTCCATGTGCTCAATACTATATCTTCCTTTATGAAGTCAAACACAAGCAACTACTGATGGATTCATGGCAAAGGTGAACAGAAAAAGACGAATTTATAGCTCCATGTCCTTAGAAGATTGATAGCACCTTGACTGGTCTTTCCATAGGCTTCATCCTGGACCTCTGCCATATCTCTGATATATATACACATACACACACACAGTCTATGCTGGCTCTACAATGGCTGCAGCTTTGATGGAACTCTAATTTGGCTACATAAATAATGTACATATAAATTAGCTGAAAACACATGTACGTGAGGAGCCGGTATAAAGCAATATATTAGAATTACTAGCAATGAGAACTTCTCCCCACATGTGCTGTACACAAGAGCATGAAAGGCAGACATACAGGTTATGGCACTTGATAATGAGGCTATGTATGTGAATGTAACACAACAAGTGGATGTGAGGATATACACATACACACCCACAGAACACCCACAGAACATCCTACTTCACAACTAACCAGAAAGCTGTCTCTCAGTAATTAACACACACAGAACACACACACACTCACACACACACACACACACAGACAGAACACTCACACTCACACAGTACACACACACACACACACACACACACACACACAGACAGAACACACACACTCACACACACAGTACAAACACACACACGCACACACACATACTCTTACCCCTACCACTCCCCTGGAAGCTGTCCTAACACAGTGACCTCAGTAGTTAACTCACAGCAGATACCAACTGAGGGAAATTGTTGTGGATAACCAGGATAAACAAGTACAGTGCCAACCAGAAGATTTCAAACATTACAAACCACGTTTTACAGTGCTGACCAAAATATTTCAAACATTACAAACCACATTTTACAGTGCTGACCAAAATATTTCAAACACTACAAACCACATTTTACAGTGATGACCAAAATATTTCAAACATTACAGGCCATGTTTTACAGTGCTGACCAAATACTCCCAACAACATGCTGTAGGCCCTGTTTAGAAAAGGGGTAAAAAACTGCCATATCCATTTAATTTATGTGAACACTCACTAATAAATTCTTGATATCCTTTGAGAAATCCAGCCTGTATTTTTATAACCTGATGAATTTCTGACTTGACTGCCAGTAGTTTATACGAGTTCACAGGTACACACATTTTCACATGCTTTTTATCATTGTCATCTATCAAAGTATATTCTAATCACTTGTACACAACAATAAGACATATACACAAAGCCACGTCTACGTTTGTAATCCTTAATTGGAAAACAGAATGGAGAGAAAGGACAGGAATTTGTTCTGCTTCAGTATTGAACTTCACCTCACTTGAAGCAGAAATTGGTGCTGTTAACTGGAGTACAAGATATAACACCAAGTCCAATGACTCAGTACTGCATTAACAGCAAAAATAATATCAAAAAATATAGGGCACAAACATTATGCAACTCGTTATAAACATAAATTTTATGTAATGAACATAAAAAGATGAGACAAAAACCTTGAACAAACTCACAGAGAACATATATACATACACTATAAATATCAAGAGAGAGTTTAAGAAAGTGACATGAACAGGTCAACGTTAGTCCTGAGGTGTAAAACAACGAAATCATCTCATATTTTATAAACACCAATTCCCACATAAGCTGAGGCCAGAATATTTTCATTTAACTGTCAACATAAGATGGAGGAGAGCAGTTGCAATGTGCCAAGGTTCACTGGTTAAACTAAACATCATTTACCAGACATTTAGAACATTTCACCAAACTGCTGTGGATCAGTGGCCTTATACAGAATAGACAATCCGAGTATCAACTGGTTCAAGGATCAAATATGGCCGACCCTACATGGAAGGAAGACTACTTAATCCTGTAATGGTCTCTCCGCCTCTCACTCGCTGTCCCATGTGTTGTCCCTGCAGGGTCACAGTAAGTTAATTTCGGCTCCATTCCACCAGATGAGTGGGGAGGCCTCTGAGAGGCGAAGAGACCATTACAGGATTAAGTAGTCTTCCTTTCAAGTAGGGTCCGCCATATTTGATCATTGGACCAGTTGATACTCAGACCTTCTATTCTAAATGGCCCCAATGTCTCAGTTGGTCTTCTCAAACTGATTCACACCACACCTTTCAGGTAAGAAGTGTGCAATAATATAATCCAGCTTGAAAAAGTGCTTAACACTGTATCCACTTACAGCCCCAGCCCTTAATACAACAGCTACTACGATTTATTTCCAAAAAACTTTAATTCTTGAAAATGCAGTACTTTAGACAAGAAAGCAAAAGCATATATTCTAAATGCCAAATAAAATACCCATTACTCAAGCATTGTTATAACCAGTTTACCACAACTTCAAAGCAAACCAATGAACCTTGCTCCAGACCCTGCCAGAAATTTACCAATCCAATAAATATATTGACAGCAAACACTACAGACCAAAGCAACAGTTACCTTTCCTTTTCTTTTCTTCCACTCACACGTCTTAAAATAAAACAAAGTCTACGTATACAGAATTACATATACTTTTCATTGCAATATATTTATATTTAAACAAAGACAATGGATATATGCGGACTGTTCAGACACAAAAAATTTAAGACCGACTGAGAATCCAACATATGTTACTATATTTCTATTTTGATTTCCCATGACTCTAAGTATCAGAAGCAAGATGGTTCTCTGTGAAATATGGGAGGCCACTGAATGGAGTCGGATCAAATTTCGGTCTAAACTTGCCCTGTCTGAACAGTATCATAATTAAAACTTCATTTCCATGAGTAGTGTCTGGAAATGCTGTTTTTTTACCTCTCCATTACACACAGAATTACTGCACATAAAATCAAACAGGTTAGAAACAGACAAACAATGTAATATATAAAGAATGGATGGGAGTCCAGAAATCCACACTTAGATATAGTGCAAAATGTAAAAATAACAAAATCGCTCCTTTATATTATTCAGAAATAACAACTAATTTTTTTTTTATTTTATATGGAATGCAGAAGATCAAGAATGAACAAACAGGATGTAGACTCTACAAACAGACTGCAATGTGTAGTGAAAAATTGTTCAAAATTATGTTGCTGGATTTGTTTTCAAATTTTATCTATAAAATTAAATTAAAAACATTTATTTATTTATTTATTTATTTATTAAATTAAATTTATTTTTCATTTATAATATTAATATTTCTACTACTGCATATAATATCTCTCAGATTCCTCTTAAGTGAACAAAAATCAAACGTAAAACAAAAATTTCTCCTACCACATTTTAGAAGCAAATATTTTACTTTTACAAGAGAAAATTCTTTAAATCAGTGTCTTAATTGAACACATTGGAAAAACTTGTAAACCACCATTATATCAATGAGGTCTGTGAAAAAGACATTTTTCTGATACCCAGTCTCATCTTAGAACAGTGCTGTATTTACTGCTTTTGCTGTATTTACAATTATTATTCAATGTCATATTGCAGATGTATATTTCTTGTTGATGATGTATTTGTTGTTATTGTTGTTGTGGTGACTGATACCGATTAACTGCTATTGCTACCGATTAACTGTTGTTGCTATGGTTACCTACCATCTGTAGTATGTCATCATCTTTGGGGACTACCAGTAACTGCAGGGTGGAGTCACTGAAAGAACAAGAAAGAAATAGTATGACATTTGTTTCATACACTGTCACACCTAACACGTCACACCTAACACATTTACCACACTGTCACAACTAACACATCTACCACACTGTCACACCTAACACATTTACCACACTGTCACAACTAACACATCTACCACACTGTCACAACACATCTACCACACTGTCACAACTAACACATCTACCACACTGTCACAACTAACACACTGTCATATATGAAACTAAACCTAACACAGTTTCATCAAACATTATCACACCTACCACACTGTCACATCTAACACAGTGTCACATCTAACATAATTCAATTATATTAGCCTTACATTCACCCTCATACAATAACAAGATAAGTGAAAGAATTCCGTGTTTGTGTCAACTTCACTTTATGAAGTAGTCTGTTTTCTGCAGTGTTTATCATGCAATATGAGCATGTAATAGATTCTAGCCTTTGATAAGAAGAGCCTGTGACCTTCACCTCTCAACAATGACCTTCACCTTCTCCAATGGGTTTTTTTTACATGTTTCATACTAAAACCCTGTATGGTAGTAGTAAGTACAAGTAGCCTGTGGGTTCAAATCAGTGTACCACGGAAATTTGTTAGATGTTTGCCACAGCTCCAGTGTACATTACATCATACAGCAAGGGGGAAAGTAGAAATGATTTCAGAAATTTTGTTGGCAGTATACCATACACAGTGCTGGCTAATGTAGATTGAATATCACAGAATACTGAAGTAACTGCCACACACTTCAGTTTTATGAACTTTTGGTCTTCAAAATTTAATTCAATTAAAAAGTTGACTGCACCGATTTATACTTTAAATCTGTTTGAGTATTGAATATTTGAGAGAATACAGGTAGTCCATTTGGCCAATTTCTATCATCCACATAAACCAACATTTTCCATCAAACTATAGATACAATAACAGACCACTAGTATTGGCTTCATTTTCATTATGGATATTAGAACATATCCTTCAGCCTCTCTCTCTCTCTCATTACCTTGATACCTAAATTCTACACAATCCATACCCGGCTCCTATTAAACAATTGTAATACCATTTGTAATATCAAGCTGGTGGAGAAGTTCTCCCAGTCTAGTGGACTGCAGACAATATCAGCCAGCAGGAATTGACATCTGCTACAAATATGTGCAGAAATCAACAGCAGATGACTTTCCTCTGAAACACTTTGTTTTCACTTCCAGAGTGTTTTGATGTTTGGATACGGCTGGATGGCGTAGGTCTGAGGTCATGTGTTTACTGGTACATGGCTTAGGATAAAGACTGGTATTTGATGTTACCATATTTCCCCTATAAAAATTTGTCCCATAAAAACTCCATCAAGCAAGTCTACTGTTAGTTTTATCAATTTAGGTACCTACCTATCAGTCATCTTGAAATCGGTAAATTGGTAGAATTGTAATATATGGCTCTCACACTGCAACAGCTTTTAAGTGTTCTTATTTTCATCTAAATATACACCTATATCTGCATTGGTGATACTGTCTATTTCTGCCATCAACTCCTGAATTATAAGTATACCCAGACAGTACAGAGACCATACCCACTGTGCTGAAGATAGTACAGAGTACACACCCACTGTGCTGAAGATCCCAGTAGAGAATCTGCTCCTCAGATAATAAAAATACCAGACAACTTTTATATCTGAGTCATATTTCTGACACAAACCTCCACAAAGCCACTGCCCTCATACATGTACATCACCCTGGTCAGACTTCATATTTATATCAGATAGGAAACCCACGGTAGCATCAGACACAGAAATAAATATAATTTCCTCACTTGATTATACAGTTTTAATAGTTTCTGTTACAAACTTGGTGTCAGTCTTTACTGACAAATTTTAGTCCCCCCCCCCCCCCCCACTCCCAGATCACTGCAAGACAATGACTAGGTGGGTTTCCAGTGGTTAGATATCCTTGTAACATTTCTGATATGTGTCCAAAGTTAAGCAATGCCAAGTACAGTAGAAAAGCACCTTAGTATGACACATTGTGGTGATTTATTTGTAGTTATCCACAGACAAGTACCTTTCACTTAATTACACTGTTATACAGAGCATTTAACAGAAACTGCCTCACTGTAAATCACCTTCCTCAGTCAATGAGGATAAAGAGGTCAGAATTTATTGGCTCTCCTCAATATTTCTGGGAACAAAAAAAAAAACAGTTTTCCTCCTTATCAAACAGACATGACGTCATCATTACCGTATTGCTGTACATATATATATCACAACCAACGTAATAGAACAGAAAGCATTCACCAGTAGTTTGACAGCCACCATTTTGCCCTTACGATTTTTCTTGCTGACATACCATGATATTTTAAAATCCGACTTTTACACCCTTTAATGACACCAAAGATGACATTAAAGGGTGTAAAAATCGGATTGAAACAAACACCAAATTTAGCCTTTAATTCCTCACAAATGTACTGAAAACAATCCACTATTGAACAAATGCTGTGACTTTCTCAATTCTGATGAATTTCCAGGAATTACAAGACTTCCCAGTGTTCCATTTTCCATGTATGTACTTTAATAGTCAATCTGTACCATCTCACTCCCTATGTCTTGTGTACTACACACACACACACACACACACACACACACACACACACACACACACACACACACACACACATTTACTCTGTGTATTATATGTAAGCTGTAGGAAGCTCCAAACCAACTGTCTTAGGGAGTGGTGCCCTCAGCATAGACAGTAAGGACACATTTAGATTTCCACAGCCTGTAAGCTAGGTCGGTCCAACCATGTAGGGGATTCTGGCTACGGTAAAATAAGTGAAATCAGCTTAACAGCACACGATAGTTAATAACCCCCTAGCTGCTCCAGGGGTGTGTCAGACAATATAGCTGATTCCACTGATTGCAGAGTTGGATCCACCCAGCTTGTAAAATATGTGAATGTAAATATGGTCATAGACTGTACATATTTACATTTATATTACATATCTACAAACAGATATCTTAGACTACAATACCTCCGTATAGCTTACCACTTACCTAAACAATAGACATTTTTAAAACACAAGGAATTAATCCAACACAAGTGCAATGATCTCCAGTCTTAGTATTTCTCAGCTAGCTGTCTATCCAGCCAAAGTAGACATATATATCATGTATTAGACTACTACATATTTCCAGCCACAGTAGACATGTACATGATACAGTAGAGTGCTATATACTCCTAGCCACAATAGACATATATATATATATTACATAGCAGACCAATCCTCTCCAGTCTTGGTATTTCCCAGCTAACAGTCTATCTAGCCACAGAAGACATATGCTTTATATAATAAACTACTTTATCCTTCCAGCCACAGTAGACATATATATCATATAGTAGACTACAGCATACCTCCTGCTACTGTCTATATTGAAGTGAAGTATTCCAAACCTCCAGCCTGTACTCCAGCAGTCAGTGTGAGTGTGTGTGTGATAGAGCTGTGTGTGATAACATACTATTTCCTATATATGCTTCCTGAGCCAGTGAATCACCATATAAGTCAGCTACAGTCATCTCAGCTCTTCTCTCTGGCACAGTCAGTGCTGCAGTACTAATATAAAGACTGTGGACTCTGTAGACTGTGTTATCTGACCAGTCTGTATAGTCTTGTAACTGACTACAGCTGACTGCAGACATATGAAGGCTACTTTACACTACAGCAAAGACCCTACTACAACTATATTAAAACCTCTCTCTCTCACACACACACACTCTAATTAGAATGTCTAAAATATCAAACAAAGATATAAAATTCTAATTTGCAACTCGTGACACTATACAGCACAAATAAATTAATCTTTTTCATCACCCTCATTTCCTGTAGTGGTGTTATAGATATCTAAACACAACATTCTATAGCATTAAATTATGTCACCACACATTTCTTTATCTCTCACGAAATGCTCTACATAATCAAGAGCTATTGAGCCATTGCATTCAGACTTCTCCAAAACCTTCCTATAGCTTACCATGTTTGTGCCCCAAGTACACCATATTTCACAATGACACTAAAAGCCTTTCAGAATAGTCTGTGTCACCAGTGGTGTTAGACAGAATGAGGACGCCGTGTCACCGGTGGTGTTAGACAGAATGAGGACGCTGTGTCACCGGTGGTGTTAGACAGAATGAGGACACCAGTCTCCTAGTGTCAACACCACACACCACTCTACTTCACTGGCATGATAACATTTCAGCTCTGTAACCTGCTATCAACTGATCAAACAGATAAACTTTCTAAATACTCTTCTTAATAGGAATAACACATTGGATTAGGTCACCACACGGCTGGGATAACACTGTCATCTTGTCTGGGAAAACAATAATAGTACAATATCACCAATGATATACAATGACAGCAATACCATCAGCATGAAACTCAATGAAAGCAATGACAGTTTGTTTACTATAGCAATAAAATAATATCTACTGCTATCTAGCAATAACAATAACAGTAACAGACTACCACATCAACGGGATCAATGTGACCTTTGACGTAATAATCTCTATGATGACGGTAACAGTCAGAAAACAACAATTACAGTTACTCACACAGTGCTAATAAACAAAAACAGCAATAACAACATGTAAGCAGCAACAACAACAGTTACTATAACCCATACAGAGTTTATTGGTGTCTGTCATAAGCAATAGCAGCAATAACAACATGTTAGCAACAACAACAGTGGTAGAGAATGGTAGCTGTTACAGGAATAGTACATTTCTATATAAAGGTTTGCCAGGAGACTTTTCAGTTCACAATGTACAGAGGTTGCTGAGTAAATAACCCGGAACTGGCCTTGCTGTCCCGCGGTGATAGCATGGTATTTACTGATATCAACCACTAGGTAAACCACAACTACAACCTCCACAATTAATACACATATTAACAACAAAAACTCTGCTATACAGATACAAACTGTGCTGTTACTTGTAGTAGAAGGTGCCTGTGTAAGCACATAAACAACACGCTTCATTTCAAAACTGTTTGCATGTTATGTCAATTTTGATAACAAAGTTGGGATTTAGTTGTGTGTAAACGATAATCTTCTTCTCTAGACTTTCAAGTCTCCTGTCAATACACTACCTGAGATAAGTAATACTTAGTAATGCATTTTATCACTACCTTCTAGAGGCTGGAGTTCATTATATCTTTTCATTTCTCTTTCATATCACAATATAAAGTCAGATAACCTTTGGACATTGCAGAATAAATATTAAGACTGTATTATCTTAAGTAATCTGTGTGCTTGCTATGTTGGCAGAGAAGGAGATAAGTTGGCTTAGAGCCAGGTAACTCACCTGTGCCCCCCCCCCCCCCCCCCCCCACCACGAACCCATCCCCTCAATACATCAGGCAGCAGCTGTCAGTAATGCCAAACACTGCTGTAAACATGTTTTTCCCCAAAACTAAGTGACTGACTCAGTCTTCCTGGATTGAAAACAGAAGCCTCTCTCTATGTAGCTGGTCTTACCTGGAGTAATACCTTGGTTGGCTAGAGCTGCCTTCAGTGTGCTCATTGTGGTAGAGAAGATTACTAAGATGTGACTCTGCTGAGATGGCTCAACTAACACACTGCCAGATTCAATATATACCTCTACAGCCAACCTACTTCTTTTTTTTCCTCTTTTTCAACTACATTGCCTATTATTTCCCTTTATCTAAAAAAATACCATTATTTGCTTGAGTAAAAAAAATCAAAATGCATAAACTATTTTGTTTCCTAGCATGACCTAGCAGGTAATTATTCCAAACTGCCATAATTTTCACATTACCATCCAAGACCTAGGCAAGAAGATTAACCATTTTTTTTAAATTGTGTAGAAATGTTAAGTGCGGCGGTGCCCCTGGTGTAACAGTAATTGCAGATACTCTGGCAGTATTACCTACCACTGGTTGCCATGACAACAAGGTTTTCAATTTTTCACAGAAATGTTAAGAGCCGCGGGGTCGCTGGTAGAACATCCTCAGCTATGCTGTGAACTCTAACTGACTCTGACACGGACTGATATGACCACACAGAATAACACTGGGGCTGGGCTCTGACTGATAGCTGACTAACATTTTAACACATACACCAAGGCTAAGTCTTGATAGCTGACTAACATTTTGAACTTAAAGTCTTCGATTAAATATATTGCTGAATTGCTGAATAACTAATCTGCATTGTTTTAAGATATGTTTTTAGCATTTCATCTGCAACAAGGTAGAGAATTCAAAGGCAGCATTCAGTAGGGGTTGGGCATTGACTCAATTTTTTTAGTGGGAAAAAATGTGAATTCTACATATGTGGCATTTTTAAAGTTAATTCATAAAATACAAAAACAGTGGAAGCAACAAGAACGAGAAGCAGGTCATCCTATAGTTCTCTTCTATGTAGTAAAAACACCACAAATGCAATACACAAACATAGTTTTAATGATACCATAATATGTATCTGAAAGATTGATGATTTTGGCTGATTGAAAGGATTGAGTCATTACTATAACTTATGATGCAGCTGGTCTCACTATACTTTTAGATGAAGACTTTGGATGACAATATGCCATCAAAGACATGGACATGTCTGCAAACCTCACTAACCTGACATATGGAACGTTTTTAAGTATTCTGCAGCAACAAAATACATGGATTAAGATCCACATTTTGCCTTTTCCTCCAGCAGTTACATTTCATTTCCATTTTGACTATTGCATATAAATCTTCCTATTGTTCTTAATGTCCCATAACTCCTGCTGTAATGGTAGCAGACATCCTTGCCAGCAGTGGTTCATCTTGTATTAGCAGAGCTGATGATCTTATAAATCAACGGTAAAACAATATGCAGACATTTGTATCCAGAATTTTCATTTGGAAACTAAAATAATGACTCTGATGTTGTCTTTCCTTAACCCAGCATTCTGGGGGAAAATATAGCTTACTATGAATATCACAAGCTGTCTTTTTGTTCCAAGTATTATTACTGCTGACAATGGAGGTATTATTTTTTATCGTTAGTAGGCGACTAGAAAGTAGAGTATGATCTCATGATCACTAGAAATTTTACCATAAAGTTTGTGATAACTGTCTAGTACATTCTAAATATGATCCCTGAGTTGCACCATGCTTTGGAACTGGACAATTTCCTCCACTGTGTCCTAGCAAATAGGATAACACTGGCCATTAATCAATGGCATTAACGATGGAATATCAATTTATGACCCTATACCATTACTAGGGGGCTCCAATACTGATACTATGTAGCTGTACTGATATCTATTACCATACCAGACTGTAATTACTGACATTAACAGTAGATGCTCATGGCAATGGAATACTGTTTAAAATTGTATTATAATTTCCAACAACGAGTTTCACATTTTCCTGGAAATCTGTTTGTATTTTGTTTGCTCATCAAACAGATTTTCCTCATCTTCCACCAAACCATTTCAATCCACAGCAATCCACACAAAACCTATCACTCACAATTTTCTTATCTACCATCAGCACATCCCATTCCACAGCAATGCTTACAAAACCAATCACATTGTTTAGCCTGGATTTCATGTTAAACTTGTCTGAGCACTTACAAAGGAGCAAACAATCTATTAACCCCAGCCAGTGGTTTAACACTTTCATTTTGGCAAAAAAGAGAAAAAAAATGATTAAGAAACTCAAAAAGGTAAGCTAAACAATTTGACTTTTCACAAAGTTTTGAAGTCAAAAACTCTCCATGCAAAAGTGAGTCAGGTATAAAATAAGCTGCAGCCTACCTTGCTTGTATTAATGCTATAACTTGAGAGTAAGTTTTCCCAGTGACAGACTCCCCGTTGACGGAAACAATACGGTCGCCTTGGTTGAGTCCTGCCAACTGCGCTGGTCCACCCGCTTTCACGTGTTTCACAAATATTGTGTCCATGGGCTCTAGGGAGCTCAGCTTGGTCCGCTTGCGTTTGTGATCTGGAACGATAATCATAATTAATTTTATATTTTTATTATTAAGACTGAAGTCCAGATTTAAAATAAAACAATAGGATCCTTTTTGCTTTTTTTTTACAATCAGCAACAATAATTCATAAAAAAACTTTTGTCAAAGGCAGGCAGTTCATGTGAAAAACAGCAAAATGAAATCAAGGAAAAGATAGGTAGATGAGTTCAAATCATAAGTTTTCAACAAAATATCCGAAATCAGTACTTAATTTATTTGAAATATAAAACAGTACCATGAATGCCTCATTTCATTCCAACAACACCTGTTCACAGACACACATGCACACACACTCACCCATGTACGCACGCAAGCGCACGCGTGCACACACACACACACACACACACACAGAGGCCAACAAGCAAGCAGGCAGGCAAACACGTGTATTCGTGCACACACACACACACACACACACACACACACACAGACTGTTATTCTGTTCATTTCCCAATATATCCTATGTTTTCAGTCTTACCCCTGTCATCCATGTTGTACTACACCAGCAGCTGTCTACAGTCAGATATCTACTCCTATCTCTGATAGTGACAAGATTTGATCTGCACCAAAACTAACTCTTTCCTCTACTGTCCTGCAGACTGCCAGGAAAACTTAGCACTGCCTCCAATATTTTGGCCAACTCTGGGCTTGTTTTCCAGAAAACCAGCTCCAGATCTATTTCAAATTGGAGTTTTACTCTTTCACTGCCACTTCTATCCTGGTCATAAACACACTTAAAAAACACTCAAATCAGCTGATGAGCCAAGCCATTACCCAGAGAAGATGCTTCTATTATCTCTTTCCTGCTGTCTGGCGGGCCCCATTACTTCTCTACATGGTCCTGAATAAGGATAATGGTCTGCCCAAAATCTATTACCCAGAGAAAGTGCCAAAAATCCCATCCCTACTCTTCTGAAGTCTTTGGGCCCTATCATAATTCTAAGGGCCCTAAACCAGGATATTTAGCTGTCGTAAAACTTATTACATAGACTGAACCAGACTTATCCAGTTGCAAAAAATATGCTTTAAAGGAGCCTTTTTTCTAAGCTTTAGGGCCCTTTAACAGCAAATAACAGAGTTTTCTGGGCAAGCTTCTCTGTAGGCAAGAAAACATAACACTGTCCCAGGGCTCTTATCACTCATGGGTGGCCCTGTGGTATATATCTATCCCTTATTAAACAATATCTGGACAATACAGGATCACCAGCCACAAGATGGATTTTTGATAGAACTATTATTACACCATCCATATCCCTGGACTGCCATTACACTCAGCAGGTGCCCCAAACATGGACTATCAATGAGACATCACAATTTCTTGGGGACAAGAGAGACCTTTCCTTGGAGCAGTACATCACCAGGTAATTGACTGGGTACATGATGTTAACTGGCACTGGGGGCTAAGTATAGGAGCTACAGACAACACAGAGGTTTATGACTCTCTCTACCCGTGGTTATATCACAGTGATGTGGGTGCGTGGGTGGATGGAGGACATGTGGGCGGAGAAAGGTGGGAAAATAGGAGGAAAGGTGCAGCGGGGAATCTGGGGGAGGGGAGGGGGCTGTAGCCAGCAGGCAGGTCTCTCTCTCTCTCTCTATCACAAGTGACAGGGGTGGGTTGCAGATAGAGGTAGAGAGGAGGGAGGCAACTACAATTAGTTGATGTGGGTGGGCAGATGGGTGATATCTGGAAGAGGGGTTGGTAGCTAGGAGAAGAGAGTGGGTAGAAAATCACATAGGAGGTTGGTATAAGATAGGTTGGTTGAAAGCAGGTGTGGGTGTGATAAAGACATGGGTAAGCAAAAGGCTAAAGCCAGTGAGCTATAGAAACTGAGCCTACAAACTGATACAAAATCACCTCTTCAGGAGTCCTGATTGACTACGAAAAAGTAACCAAATAATCAAATGAAAAAGTAAAAACTTGCTATTCCAAAGTGATAATATAAGACAACATAATATAAGACAACATAAGGAGGCTGTGTCAGAGAGGAGTTTACCAGCCATGAGCCAGGGTTTTAGAAAAAAAACTCTGAACATTTATTGTGGAACCAAATACCTTACGTTAATTTTTGAGGGTTTAATTGCTCTGGGGTCATGTAAAAAAGCGGAATTCCCCGATTCCACGAAAAAAACCTCCTGTCTGGTCTACCAGCCAGAGCTGTGTTCAACAGGAACTGCTCCACTGCCACACTGATGAATACCAGGTGTTAAATTAAGGGAAGAATTATCTAGGTAAACAACCTTTCAGAGTCCTCCACTTTCTGTGAACCTAGCTGTAAATATATCAATATCAGAATAAACATGCTTTTAAGATGACTCAGCTCTAAAAATACTTTTATGAGCTCAAAATATCTTTTTTAAAAGTTTTATGAAGTCTAGGGACAAAGTAATGTGACCTTCATCAAGGTCAAGCAGAACGAAAGTCAGAAAATCTAACTGTGAAACCAACATTATTTCTAAAAAGAAGTCAAAGCATTGCTCTATAATATCCAAAAAACGTTGTGAAATCTGAAGATTTTAAATGAAGAAATGTATAAAATCTTGACGAAGGTGAACAAGCTCTGGTATATTTGCAGTCAGTGTGTGACCTCCAATAAACAGTGGATGTACAAGTATCTGCCAGGTGTCATGTTCTTCCAGAGAGACAAGACTGCTACTTAAGTCTACAGCAGAACTCACAACATATCTGTACTGAAAACACCTCATGCTGAACTAAGAAGTCAACTCTTACCACAAACAAATGAAGACAAGCAGCCCTACATTCAATAACATAAAAACCATGTGAACAAATATATGCAAACGCACGTGCACACATGTACGCACACACACACACACACTCTTCCATAAAATCATTTTGACAAACACCCACATAACAAAAAACAAATGCCCAGGTACAAATATGGACACAGTAAGCAGCCTGCCTTACCTTCAACAGCCGTGTCTCCCCCATTTTCACTGCCCTGAAATGACAGCAAATACACATATTGTTTTATTTTACATAAAATTGAAGATTGTCTTCACCCGACAGTTACATCTCTAAACATGTTTTTCATTCTTAAAAATCGTACGGCATCATGCTATACTGGTGTCTTAAACATGTAAAATATATACCTTTCGATTAACATACCCGTAAATAATCATGCAAATTTTACATAAGGCCACACTTTTTTTATTTTTATGGATGACATCCTGCGCGCGCACCGATTTTCGTCCGTTCTCCAAAAAAAAAAAAAAAAAAAAAAAA